AGGAATGACATCTCTAAAAATAAGCAGATTCCTACAATGCCACATTCTCCAACAGAAGCTAAGCAACAAATATTTCCAGATAGTTCTAATATCAGAGCAAGTGTTACGATCAGATTGCAAGGCAATCAGACCCTCCATGGATCGGGGCCATGAGCAGATGGGAGCGAGGGGGAGGAGAGAGGACCAGACTGCTTGAGCAAAGGAGCAGCTAATAAATAAATGATCTTGTGTTTCAACTTCCAGCGAACATAAAGGGCAACGAGGGTCCCCAGTCCATCCTTTGTGAATCAAGTTAGCTCTGGTATTAAGCTTGTTTCTGGAAATAAGCCAGAAGTGGATCTTAACTTTCATCGGGATGATAGACTTCCAAATGAATTTATGATAGGAGGATATACCCCCCCGAAGGATAAGATGGCGTAAAGAGACTTGACAGTATAAACACCCGATGTATGGTAAGGCCACCACAGACTGTCATGGAATGGAGAAATGTCAGCTTGGTTAGAAACAAGATGAGCATATAGCTTGGTAACTTCGCTTTGCTCTCCTGTTGAGATACCCCTCCTGAGGATTGGGTGCCAAATCCAACCATGGATGCCCTGATATCCTTGAGATCTTACTGAAACATTTCTGGAAAAAGCAAGTTGGCATGCTAAAGGAAATAGACTACTAAGAGAGTTAGCATTTAACCATTTATCATTCCAAAAATTGCATGTATTACCATCTCCCACCTGCCATTTCACCAAACTGAAGAAGGTAGAGTGGATACTGTGTAAATCAGAAAAGAGTTTGGAGGCAGACTTCCTAGGAGGGTGAACAAAAGGATTGGCATCATCTTTAGAGTAAAGAGAGAACAAAACTTTACTTATAAGAGAGCTTCTGTCACACGCTTTCCATAACCATTTGGAGAGAAGGGCAGTGTTGAAAGCAGTTAAGTCAATGACCCCCAAACCTCCTTCATGTTTGGGCTTACAGACTGTGGTCCAGTTGACCAAGCATTTGGGTCTTGAGAGGTGAATACTCTCATTCCAAAGGAAATTTCTCCTAATTTTATCTATCTCTTGAATCACTCATGTAGGTAATTTGAAGCAAGACATGAAGTAGAGAGGAATTGAGGAGAGGACAGAGTTGAGGAGAGTAAGTCTGCCACCTATGGAGAGGGACTTATTCTTCCATAGTGACAATTTTCTCTTTAGAGAATCCAGCATAGGTTGCCAATCTCTTTTGCTCAGAGATCCCTTCTTAAGAGGAAGACCAAGGTAGGAGAGAGGGAGAGAGCCCACTGAGCAGTTAAAAGCGGCAGCAAGGGAAGAGCTTTTGTGAGGAGATCTGCCCAGGTAGAAGAGATTGGTCTTCTGGGGATTGACGCGAAGGCCAGTCAATTTGGCAAAGAGAAACAGCACATTTTTGAGGGAGATCATATCTGATATGGCTGCCCTACTGAAAATAATAGTATCATCAGCGAACTGAAGGGCTCTGATGGAGTTTAGCTCCCCCTTCAGATTGAGATCAGCGAGATCCCCCGAGGCTGCACTACATGAGAGCATTTTATTCAATACATCAGCAACCAGCAAGAAGAGCAAAGGGGACAGCGGGTCACCTTGCTTAAGGCCCCTAAAACATCTAAAGAATTTAGTGGGGGATCCATTAACTAGGATAGCTGATTTAGAGGAGAGCAGAAGGTGCTGGATCTAGTCACACCATCGAGGGCCGAAACCTCTGGCTTTGAGGAGGGACAAGAGGAAATTCCAGTTAACACAATCAAAGGCTTTGAAAAAGTCCACTTTGATTGCACAAATTTCCTTTTTGCCAGATGAGCAGAAATTGATCATCTCATGCGCTAGGAGAAAAGAATCCATCGTAGATTTGCCTGTCTGAAAAGCTGATTGGGAATGGTCCACGAGGAGAGGGATATAAGATTTGAGTCTATTAGCAAGAACTTTAGAGAAGATTTTGCAAGAGGTGTTGATGAGGCTAATGGGTCGAAAATCTTTGGGAGAACTTGCTCCGTCCTTCTTGGGGATAAGACAGATGTGGGAGTAATTTATGCTCTGGAGAGATTGTGGGTTAGCATGAAGGCTTTGAATAAAGCTAATGACGTCTGATTGAATAGTATGCCAGAAGGACTGGTAGAAGAGAGCAGGGAGGCCATCGGGCCCTGGGGCCTTGTCTGGGTGAAGGTCAAACACTGCTGCCTTAATTTCCTCATTGGAGAAAGGGAGGTCGAGGGGGGATAAGTTGGTAGAGCTGAGGGGGTATAGAACTTCCCAATCTAGCTGCAGATTGGAGACCGGAGGCTGCTGGAAGAGCCGCGAGAAGAAGTCGAAGAAGGAATGTTTGATATCACTAATATCATTAATAAGGACATCGTCCATGATAAGGTGAGGGATAAAATTCTTTCTGCGATGAAAAGAGGCAACTTTGTGAAAAAAAGAAGAATTATTGTCTCCATCTTTGAGCCACTGAATTTTGGATCTCTGTTTCCATTTAATTTCATCAGCTTTAGCAAGGAGAAGCATGTAATTCTGGAGATGAGCTCTTTGTTGAGATTCTGAATGGGAGAGGGGTCTGGACTCTTCTAGGGAATTGAGATTATGAAGAAGATTCATAGAAGAGGAGATTTGGTGCTTGAGGGATCCCAGGGAGTGTCGAGACCACCATTTGGCTCTCTTCTTGATGAGTTTCAGCTTTGTAGATAGGTTTTTAACATGATCCTCGGATGAGGAGAAGGAGCTCCAGCAGGCTGAGATGAAAGGGTCGAAGTTTGGGAAAGAAGACCAGTACTTCTCAAATCTAAAGAGGGGAGGGTTTAAAGGAGTGGATGTGTCTAGTAGAATGGGACAATGATCAGAGCATGATGATTGATAGGCAATTTGAGTAAGAAGGGGGAATTTAGCTTCGAAATCTGTGGAGACCAAAAATCTATCAAGTCTGGCAAGGGAGGGAGGAGATCTATGGCCAGACCAAGTGAATTTTCTTCCACTAAGAGGAAGGTCAAGGAGATGAGTGGAGTCAATGAGGTTACGAAAAGAATCAATATCTCGAGAACAACTCAATCGCCCACTTCTTTCAGATAGGCTCAGAGTCGAGTTGAAATCACCGAAGACGACCCAGGGAAGGGAATGGGAGTCTCTAATTCTCTTGAGCTCCCACCAGCAGACCTCTCTATCCTCAAGGTCACAGGGAGCATAAGTGGAGGTAGCAACGAAAGACCAGTTAGTGGGACGATGAGTAAGGGTGACAGAAACTGAGAAAACTCCTACGAAGGAGGAGGAGCAGGAGAAGATGTCTTCCTTCCAACCAAGGAGAACTCCCCCTCTGGAGTCAATGGCATCAAGGGATAACCAAGAGGAAATTCTATTGCCCCCTAACTTCTTAAGAAGAGAAGGAGAAGGCTAACTGAGCTTAGATTCCTGAAGACCCACCAGATGCACATTTGCAAGCTGAAGACAAGCGCTCACCAACCTGCGCTTCGCTGGGTTGTTTAACCCTCTGACATTCCATGAACCAATACGCATGATCAAGGAATAAAGCAACTTAAAGCAACGAGGCTGAGAATATTCAAAGAATCAGAGGCCCTTGGGACTCCATAAGCTGGATGTCCCTGAGCTCATCATGATCAATAGGTCCTTTGATGCCACAATTGATGGATATTTCCTCCAAATCATGAATATTAAGAGAATTAATGGGGAGGGTGGAGGCTGAGGAAGAGGAAGTGCCCTTGGATATACCTGATTTTTTACCTTTCCTCTTAATGAATAGGTGCTTCCTGTATGGCAAATGTGACATCAGCCCACTGCTTGCCTTCTTCTTAGCTGCAGCGATCTGTCTCTTAGTATTCTCGAACCCTGGAGGAGGGGCTGAAGATGATGAGTTGACCAAGGGGTCGGAAGAGTTAATCTGCGGGATCTGATCGTTGTTATTAGCCGTGGCTACAACTTGGGAGGGAGCATCGATGCCCGGAAATGATTCCAGAACAGCTTCCCAAGAAGCCTTGGAGATAAGAATCGGGATACCTTTGAAAGTAACGTTAGTCATCTCCGGAGCCTCTGCTGATGCTGGGTCCACTGGAAGAGTGGAGGGAGACTTACTAGGAGAACCAGACAAAGGTCTCTTGCCTTTGAGATCAGGAGGAGGTGGAGCAGACTGCAGACGCTGAGTAGGAGCTGTATCCAAAGGGGCAGAGGGCCCGACGGAAGGTGGGACAGCCATAGGGGCATGGTGTGTCCCCTCTTTACGTACAAAATCTTCAAAGGTGTCCCTATTCTTACCTTTCTCTGCGGAAAGGGGAGAACCTACCAACCGCAATTTGACCGAGCCCTCCATAATGTGGATGCCATCTGGGGACTCATACCTGAAAATCACTTCCTGAGGAATCTCAGAAGGTTCTTTAACATGAAGCATGGCTTTACACACTTTGGCTTCCTTCTTCAACAGAACATCGTCGGAGACAGTAATGATGTCACCAATATCAACAAGAATGGAAGTGATGAACTCAAGGTCCCAAAGATGCAGGGGAAGATCCAGGATTTGGACCCAAGCATAAGAGAACTTGGGAAGGACTTTGAGACCTGCTTTCTCCGACCACGGAGTGAAGACCCCACCGAACTCACCGAAGTCAAAGAAAGGTTTGGAACAGGCATAGTCTAAGGTTTCAGCGTCGGGAAATTGAATGAAGAAGGAAAGATCCGAGGTTTGCCTGACAGAGAAGGACCATTCCTCAACCTTGAGGTGCGTCTCAAGATTAGAAAGAAGATCCGCAAAAGAGGGGTTACCTACCTTAATCTTGAGGAAAGCGTAGCAGGAAAAATCTTCCATACTGGAGATGACCGATGGAGGGAGAGAAACATTGGGGATAAAGAGGGGTGGGGGTGGGGATGAGGGGGGGGGGGAGGTGTCCCTATTCTTACCTTGCTCTGCGGAGAGGGGAGAACCTACCAACCGCAATTTGGTTGCATGGCAAAACACTTTGAAGGCACCATAAAGAGCAATGCTTTGAGCCCATGGTGGTCAACTTCCCACAACGGAAGCACCTGGGGATCTTGGAAGAGGAGGGGATGGAGAAGGAGGAAGAGGAAGACCTGGGTCTTTTAGGCCGCCTCTTGTACGACACTGTGGTCCACCAGACTCTGGGGTGGGGAGAATGCCTGGCTGAGCAGAGAGAGAAGAAGGGGGTGGATTGAATGGATTTTAGGCGCTTGAAGAGGTCCGCAAAGGTACGGTTTTGGGTAGGGAGATGCGGCCTAGAGGACGAAGAGAAAAGGGCACGAAGAGGTTGCAAGGGGTGAGGAAGGACAGGGTTAGAGGAGGGAACGGATGGGGGGTGATGGGGTTGGGTGGGCTTCACTGTAGTCGGAGAAGACTCCGGAGTGATGGTGGATCTTACCCGTCTGCGATAGTGACAACTCGAGGCCTGGAAAAACGAGTCGCCGCAGCTTTGAAAGTCTTTGCCTCGAACCTGGTGCTGAGTCGCTTCCCCTGTCGCTCCATTACCCACTTGACTAGTTATTATTGTTGTGAACTTGTTAGCTCTTTTGAGTAGCTTGCTATTCTTGGAAATAGATAATGTGGTTAAAATCCGTGCTAGATCAGTAATGTCATCGACTCATCAAATAGGCTAGATTGTGCATGAAGACGTCTTCCGTCAAAAATATGATTTATAAGCGTGTTTTTATAGCATGGCTATGCTCTCGATATCGATATCCCGATATGAGATTTTTCCTTGGCTATTACTATTATAGCATCGACTATACGATGCCCTCTTCTTGATTGGACATGTTCTGGGTTACGGTTATTTTTCATAGTTTTACGGAAGCCGTTCTACAGTAACTCTATGGTTAGTGCATAACATTTCATGCACAGTTATTTAGATTAAACAGGCAAAATGGGGTTTAATAAAGGGGAATTGGACAGAGAATGTGAATATTCTTCTCTAATTCAAATAACTTCTAAAATACTAATGTGCTTGTGTGTCTCATGTTTGACCTTGTTTGATATCTATTCTTAGCATTTTATTTATCATCTTTAATTGAGTTGTCATTTTTTTTCTTTATCCATGCCACATTACACGCACACATTTCCTTCATTTTTCATGCTTGTTGGGAGTTTTCTGACTCCCCTGGGGTTTGCATGCCCCAGACTCGGGAACTGTTCTTTCTTCGTAGGATCGTGAGTATTTCGAGAAGCAGGCTCAGCAGCAGTGATCACCATTCATTCCATTCAGTTCTCCATTTCACTTATCTTAGGTAGTTATTTGATTGAGACTTTCTTGTAAATCTCTTGTGGATCTTTAGATTATGAATGTTTTATTTTCTTCCATTTTGGATAGTTGTGGACTCGTCACAGACCTCTAAAATTTTAGATATTTCTTTATCTATCAATTTCCTTTTATCTTGATTACATGCTCTATGGTGTAGTTTTGGTTTTATATTGATATACAGGATGATCTAGAGGCGTGAATGTGACCGTAGGGTTACATTGTCGGTCGAGTCACATTCCAAACTATTACATTTTAGAACCAGGGCATGACAGGTATTGATAGGACGCCTCCCTTGGTGCTCGTGTCGAGTTCGCTTCTCTTGGATGATACGATCGAAGTTGGGGTTAAGCTTTAGTACACAGTAGAAGCTTCAGTGTGGTTGAGTTCGACTACCCGAGCTTAAAAAATATCAAGACTGAAAGCTTAGAGAGGGCTAAAGAGCCAATGAGCCTCAAACCTGAGAGTTCAGATCGAGTTTAACTCAATAATCTAAGCTTGCAGCCAAGAATGTTCAACCAACCGATGGAAGCCTCTGCTTAGAGAGCCGATTTATTAGAGAGAGCTGCTTTGCAAGAGTTTGCAAAGAGTTTGAGAGTCTTAAGTCTGAGAATTCAGACGAGTCTCCTTCAACAAAGGGAGCCTTTAGCAAAATGAGTCAAGGTTCAACATTCGAAAGTGGGATGATTACCCAACAAAAACTAGGCAGCCAATCAACCCCCTTTCATGTTGGCTGAAAATAGCTTTAAATATGCAAAGGATGACATGGGTCATCCCTTGATTTGTGGGATTTGACCACTAGTAGGGATGAGGGAGTCAGCCACCCTAGCTGTAGGATGTGTCCACCTAGGGGAAAGCAAGAACTTGTAGAAAGACCGACTCAAACTACATTGGCTTATCGAAAGCACTCCGAAGGCTTCAGGATCGAGGTCTCATTAGCCAAAAATAGTCACCCTAGCTGTGGTATGTGACCACCTAGAGGGCCTAACAACCACCCTAGATGTGGGATGTGACTACCTAGAGGGTCTTGTTAGCCGCCCCCTTCTTATAGCCATTAATGACTGGCTAATTCCTTGATTTGTTGGATATGATCATGCTTAGGTGAGGAACGCCATGCTCTCCCCATTGAAACATAGGATATGACCACTGATGTGACTGTTCCTATACTCCAAGTGGGTAGTTGGTAGTGCTCATGGGTTTCTAGCTATCAGGCAAGCTTGGTCTGCGCAGGCGAGGTGCAGGCTGTCGGGTGAGCTTGGCCTCCAGGCAAGCTCGAGCCATGCAGGCGAGCTTGGCCTTCAGGTGAGCTTTTAGCTCAAGCGGGTAGGCTCAACAACCAGGCAAGGTTAGGGTCGTGCTGGACGACTCAAGTGGGACCTAACTTATGCTGGCGAGCTGGATAGGTTCGCTTTGCTTCGGGTCGACTGAGACCACCCTTCTTGTCGACACGGGGGTGTCACCTCGTGGGGTGGACTGACAACACCCTTCGAGTCGACATGAAGGGTCTTGGCCATTTGGTCTTCAAAGTGAAGGGGTTCTTGGAGAGTCGACTCTGGGAAGAGGAGTCGATTAAGGCCGCCCTTCAAGTCGACTAAACGGTCTCGGCTCAGGGTCTCAGGGTCTCGGACCTTAAGTCGACTAAGGCCGCCCTTCAAGTCGACAAAACGGTCTCAGCTTGGGGTCTTGGGGTCTTGGGGTCTCGGGGTCTCGAACCTTGAGTTAACTAAGGTCGCCCTTTGAGTCAACAAAAGGGTCTCGGCTCGGGGTCTCTTGATTCTCGAATAGATTAAGGTCACCCTTCAAGTCGACCCGAGAGGTCTCGGCTCGGGGTCTAGTCCCGAAGTCTTCGAGGTGAGGGCGAGTCGACACAGGGAGTCTTGTCCCCTTAGTCTCGTGGTCTTGAACTTTGAGGAGGCTAAGGTCGCCCTTCGAGTCGACACAAGAGGTCTTGACTCTTTAGTCTCGTCCTGAGGTCTCCGAGGCGGGGGTGAGTCACCATAGGTGGTTTCAACCACTTGGGGTGTCGTCCTAAGGTCGGCAGAGGTGTCGACTTCGAGGGTATTGTCTGACATCGTCTTTTGAGTCGATGAGGGGGGACTCGACCACCTTCGAGTCGACGAGGGGTTTTCGACCACTTCGATCTTTGAAGGGTAGACTGACACCGCAATGCCTTATGCAGATGAGGAATTGCACAATGTGCTATCGAATCCGCTGTTACTGCTCGAGAAGAAGCTCCTTCAAGTCGACGAGGGGGTCTCGGCTATATTCGAGTCGGCTTCAAGTGGACTAAGTCGGTTGGACCCTAAGGGAGTCAGCGGGAATATGGGTTGAGTCGGCTGGAATATGGATTGAGTCGGCTGGACCCTAGGGGAGTCAGCCTGCCTTACCACAGATGGACCATTGAGCTCTTTTGCCTATTTCAAGTTGTGCAGGGATAAAGGTAATTTTTATTGCCTACAATTGTATTTGTTACAACTTTGATACTACGAGATGATGGGCATAAAGAAATATACATATGGCGACAGCTCCAGACCTCCAATGACAAATTGGGCATCAGAGGATGTGAAAGTCTCATCTATGAAGATGAGCATAATTACATTAATGGCTAAGGTAGCTTCATAACTTTTGTCCATAGGCCTATTGTGGAAGTTGGGCATATTCCTTCAAATGTTTATGCACTTTTTGCAGTACCAAGGGAGGAAGGAGTGCATCATAAGCCTAAGGCAGAGAGAAAGGCGAAGGAGGATGAAGCTAAGAAGAACTACTCAAGAGGCTATGTAAGTATCCTGTTAAGTAACTTATTTCACATTAACTGTAAACAATATCCATGTTATGTCTAATCCTAATTTATAATATAATCTCTAAATAATCTCATATCATAGAAAACATATTGACGCTGCTTTTGAAGATGACTCTACCAATTGAGCAGCAACTTACTTTTTAGAAAAATTATGCTAAATTTCTCAAACGACTACTATTTTCCATAAAACAGAGCAAGAGTACATATTATAAAAAAAATTATGATTGAGATCAACTGACTACATAGAATAGTTGAAGAATTTGGAAGACGTGATGAGGTTATATACCCGGTGGTGCTGAAGAAAAATATTAAATAGAAAATTAAAAAAAATTAAGTTGAATTCACGGGTAGCTGAGGAGGAACAACATTCCAAATCAAGCAGAGTACATAAGGAAGACCCCATCATGCAAGAAGATGAGGAGAATGTGGATAATAAAGAGGATAATGTAGATAGGGAAGATGAGGAGAATGTAGATAAGAAGAGGAGAATGTGGATAATAAAGAGGAAAATGTATATAAGGAAGAGGAGAATATAGATAGGGAAGATGAGGAGATTGTAGATAGGGAAGAGGAGAATGTGGATAATAAAGAGGAGAATGTATATAAGGAAGAGGAGAATGTAGATATGGAAGAGGAGAAGAATGTGGATAATAAAGAGGAGAATGTATATATAGAAGAGGAGAATGTAGATAAGGAAGAGGAGAATGAAGCAGAGGAGAATGTAGATAACAAAGGTGTAGAGATTCATCATGTAGACAGTAAAGTTGTAGAGGAATTGGAATCCCGGGGGGAGAGGAGAATGTAGATATTGCACACTAAGTGGACAAAATTGTAGATTACTTTACGAGTTCTGTGCAACAGGAGAAAGATAAAGCAACCACAAAAAAGTTATTATCATGCAAAGTTAGGTGACCAAGCAGAAGGGCTGTGAAGAGGTCTAAACACATTACGACCCCATACACAGAGGGAATGAAAAAGTAAAAAAATTACTATAGATATACTTTCAAGCCTTGAACATGTACATACAGTTGACAAAGTTACACGTTTTTACCCCAGCAACCAAGAAGCCAATTGGGATGTGTTAAGTCTGAAGCCAATGACAAAGGAGGAAGAGGATCTATTGGTCAAGCTAAATGCAGGGATCCCAGAACCTAAAGGTTTTAACATACGTATTCTTGATAGCAGGGGTACTTTTGTATATAATTTTAGGATACCACCTACAGTATCATCCAGGCTCGACACAGCCAAAAATAATTGTCTATCAAAATTTTGCTCCCAAAAGTATCATAAGTAAGTTTTAATTAACTACTTATATGCTAATTCGCTATTAGTTAGTCCAAATTCCGGTGGTACAAGATTTTTCAGGAATTATGATGTTATCAAAATAACTAACAATAGTTTGAACAGAGAAGAGCTATTGTATTTGCTTCGTGGTGGCCGGCTTGATGATAATGTCAGATTATATAAGCTTAATAATTGAAGGTGCCTTGTTTATATTTAATTTTAATTTTTCATTGATGTTACAGATGGAAGAAGCAGTGTTGGACACGCTTCAGATAGATGCATATAACAAAAAATTTGGAGTTGTCTTAGTGTTATTTCTTGTATGTACATGTTAGGTCTAAATTAACGTGTTAGTTCTAGCTGAAATGCATGTTATTTCTATCTAGGGTGCATGTTAATTCTAATGGAGTTGGTGTTAGTTTTAATTGAATTCGTGTTAGTTCTAATGGAGTACATGTTAGTTCTAGTTGAGATCTTGTTATTTCTAATGTATTTCATGTTAGTTCTATCATCTCTCATGCATAATCTTAGATTCTCCCTTTTAATTTCAACCTATACATTACTTAGTATTGATGTCCGAGATCACACAGTCGATGAGAGCTATCTGCTGACGACAAAGAGCAATAGGATGAGAGATGGGACCGCTTCCTACTTCGACTTTATGCCTAGTTCTTAGAGCTCGGGACGGATGAATGACATGTACACGTAAGAATCGTAAGAGGGCGGGGCTTGTTTCCCCCGTGGTACCTCCGACGATCAAGTCAGTTGGTAAATTTGAGTGGGTGGGAGGAAGAATGGTGTGTTCTTCTTCTTGTGTAATATGTGTTGTTTTTAGGGGTCTTTTATTGCGAAAAACCAAACCTCTTTTTATGGTGAATAGCGTCTGTATTTATAGAGGATGCCAATAGTAGATTAGTTACTTCATGAGTGTGTGGTAGACAACGGTGAGGGGTGAGCTGGAGGCTAAGTCATCATTTTCTCTATACATGGTTTGTGAGTGACGAGAGGTCACTTCAATGATATTAGGAATCAGCAGTCGACGAGGCTTGTTAGTGAGTGACGGGAGGTCACTTCAGCGATACGAGGAACCNTGAGGGTTTAGACGACTGAGGATGGAGACATAATGATGATCATCAAAGGTTAAATATTGTTAAATAATATTCTGATTTGTCCTTGGGAGGAGTGTCAACTAACACTGGGTAGTAATCCTTTGATATGAAGAGGATCGACTGAGTCCGCCTCTCGAGTCGTCCCTAAGGAATGATGTCGACCCGACTAGGGGAGTGACGACTCGTGGGATTACAAATTCGTGGGGAGTAGGGGACACCCTATAACACTTAGTTTGGAGCACTCACTCTATAGATATGAACCGGACAATTACATGCTATTTTTGTCATATATTGAAAAATATACCGCCGTCCGCATAGAGCATCTGTTGATCCCTTTGGTTCTCATGTTAGCTCTAGCTAATTTCGTATTAGTTCTACTTCTAACTAGAGGTAGTTCTGCTAGAAGTGTTGGTTTTAGTAGCTATGTTAGTTCTACTACAGCTCATGCTAGTTCTAGTGGTTCTCGTGTTAGCTCTAGTTGATTTCGTGTTAGTTCTACTTCCAACCTGAGTTAATTCTCATATAAGTGTTGGTTCTAGTGGCTATGTTAGTTCTACTGCAGCTCATATTAGTTATAGTGGTTCTCGTGTTAGCTCTAGCTGATTTCATGTTAGTTCTACTTCCAACTAGAGTTAGTTCTTCTATAAGTGTTGGTTCTAATGGCTATGTTAGTTCTACTGCAGCTCATGTTAGTTCTAATAGTTCTCGTGTTAGCTCTAGCTGATTTCATGTTAGTTCTACTTCCAACTAGAGTTAGTTCTTCTATAAGTGTTGGTTCTAATGGCTATATTAGTTCTACTGCAGCTCATGTTAGTTCTAATAGTTCTCGTGTTAGCTCTAGCTGATTTCATGTTAGTTCTACTTCCAACTAGAGTTAGTTCTGCTAGAAGTATTGATTCTAGTAGCTATGTTAGTTCTACTCCAGCTCATGTTAGTTCTTGTGGTTCTTGTGTTAGATCTAGCTGATTTCATGGTAGTTCTACTTCCAACTAGAGTTAAAACGAAACGTAGTAGTTTGTAAATAAACAACTTTAAACAAAATGTAGTAGTTTTTAAATATACAAGCAAAATAATTAACAACATACTAAACACTTAATCAACAATAAGTTCATTACATATTTTACGGTTATAACATTCCATATGACATCGAGAGCATTTAAGTGGTCGGGTGTAAACAGTTCTGTTGTTTGTAGGCTATCTAAAAATTACTACAGATAGTTGATCCTCATCAAACACCAATGATGTAAATTATAATTTAATGGATTTCAGAAGGCTACAATTTAAAGACTTTCACGTAGATCGATAAAAGTTACGATCTGATGACCTTCACAACAACCGATGAAAGCTCTAGTTCAATAGCCTTCATAATCAACATCGAGAATTACAATCTGATGACTATCATATTTTTAAGGAGCTAAGATGAATATTACAAGATGATGGTCTTTGCAACGCTCTAGTAAAAGAGACTACAAATTGACGATTTTTTCAAATCAAAACACGGATATCTCTTAAACCATAAGGAATTTGACAAAACGGATAGGAGCAAACCGAACCCTATAGGTAGGTTTGGTTGGCTCTGTCTCATCGAGATAGTTAATTTTTATCTACAATTCATCCAATTCTGACTTACGGTTTGAAAGTTATGACTTGTTCTTCACAGCAAGTTATGTTCTAAAGTCCATCTGTAAGACTAGACTTCGATTGAACATTGGAATTAGCCTGAAGCTCACCAAGCTCGCCTGAGGCTCGGCTCTATGTTCCAGAGTCAAAACACAGAGGTTGTGCTCGCGTATCAAGTTCAAAACACAGGAGTCATCCCCGACGTTCAAGTTCAAAACGCAGTGTTCATCCTTAGCGTTCTAGTTGAAAACGCAGAGGTTATTCTCGCGTTTCAAGTTCAAAAATGCAGGGTTCATCCCCAGCATTCAAGTCCAAACTGTAGGCGTATAAAACTGCTTATGGGTCCCTTAACAAAGCTCAGCACGACGATTCGACAAACCAACGAATCATCAGGTGACGTATCTAAACACGGGCGTTAATCCGCAACACCGAAGCCAAGTGATACGCAACGAAGCAGATTAACGAGGCGACGAGGTTAACGAACCGCACGCGAACAACGGAATACATCCACTCACGTGCGGAATCAAGCTAACGGTTCGGTGAGTCGACGAGTCATCCAACTATATAACGGATTCGAACTCGAACTCCAAGGTGGATTTACTGCCATATCAGGATCCGGACTGCCAAATCAGAGTTTAGATCAACGACGAAGCGGATTTACTGCCATATCGGGATCCAGACTGCCAAATCAGAGTTCAGATCAACGACGAAGCGGATTTACTGCCATATCGGGATCCGGACTGCCAAATCAGAGTCCAGATCAATAATAAAACTCGGATAAACCGCGAAACCGGACGACGGGCGACACGGCAAACAACCGGAAAAAGCTCGGCCAAAAGCCATCTAGGCGGCTCGGTGAGCCGAGCCACCAAGTGGTGGCTCGGCAACCGAGCCACCAAATGGTGGCTCGGTGGCTGAGCCACCTTGGTGGCTCGCCGAGCCACCTTGAGGTGGCTCTGGTGGCCGAGCCACCCCCCCTCCTTCCCGCGCGGATCTGGGCCCAGATCTAAGCCCAGATCCGCTTTCAATTGCCTATAAATAGATCCCTATGGCTCATTTGTCAAAGGTTGGAATTTTTGGAGCCGAAACTCTGCTGAAGTGAGAACTCAACCTCGGATTTGCAACTTAGAAGACTCGGACTCTCAGATCTGGTTCTTGGCGATCATCCTCGCTATATTAGGCAGGAGTTCGAGAGATTAGATCTGAGATCTACACGGTTTTCCTCCGGATCAAAGCTTGGCCTTTGATCCCGAGAAGAGTCTCGATTTCACTTGGTCGATTTCGATAACTTGGGCTATTATTTCCTTGGCGAAATAATCCCCACGGCCGTTATTTCCTTGGTGAGATAATGCCCGCTATACCGTGTAGATCCGACCGGATCTAGATCGCGCGGTGGTCCACGGATAAACCCCAGCGCAGGCAAAGAACCCACAAAAGCGAGTGACCGTAAAACAGGAGCTCGTGATTCGTTCGACATACAAGGAAAAAGTTGTAATTTTTATTTTCTTTTGATCTCGTTGTAACCGGATCTTATAAAAAGACCGGATCTTTGTGTAATCGATAAACAATTGCCAAAGAGCACAATGACGTCAATGAAAGCTACGATTTTTCCCGCAAACACAAACACAGAGTTCATGACTGCGTTCCAGACTTAAAATGTAGAGTTCATGGACTCAAAACACAGAGTTCATGCAGAGCCCAACTCCGCGTCCCAGATCTAAAACGCAAAGTTCATTTCTGCGTCTTAGATTCATAGCGCTGTGTGAACACTGTGTTTTCAGCCTTAAGCGAA